AGCTGGATGATTCTTTTGATTGACACAGATTACTCAGTCATGTTCAGCTGGCAAATGAGCTGGTATGGTAAGCCCCCCACAGCTTTACTCACATGTATGCTGCCTTGGTAGGGATGGCTGGAAGGCTAAGCTCAGCTGACCCTGTAAAACAGACCACTTACACATGGCCTCAACAATATGGCAGTCTCAGGGTGGTTGGACTTCTTAGGTGGAAGCTCAGGGCTCCAGGAGCTAGATTTCCAGTGACCCAGGTAGAAGATTCCTGGATTTCTGTGACCCAGACTCTGAAGTCCTAGAATGTCACTTCCACTGTATTCTCCACGTCAAGCAAGTCACTGAAGGCCAACCCAGATTCAAGGGGAGGACAATTAGATTCTGCCTCTCAATGAAAGAAATAGTAAAGACTTGGTGGACATCTTTAACATATCACAGACAGCCAGAGCTGCTGTCCTTGAGGAGATTATATGCCAGTGGAGCAAAAAGCACACTGGCCAACAAATAATCCAGGGGCCCAACCACCTTGAAGAAATTATTAGAAAGACTATTGAGTAGTATATTGAATACCCTTTCATGACTAAGTCACAGAAGGTCTGGGGTTGTTCTCTTGTGCTCCCCTGGAGGGTTCCCATGATGCCCCCCACCTCCTGCTCAGTATTCCATATCTCACCAGGAACAACCAACTCTGCTGGCAAACACACACAGGGCACAGTACACAGCTTTGTGTACACACACTGCTGCCTCCATCATTCTAACTGGGTAAAATCTAATTGTTTGACTTAACTGAGGGGTTGCTAAGTGATTACTAATTATTTAGGCTAGTTCAGTCAGAACTAGCAATTGGAATTGCTGTTTCATCTGCTGAGACTGTTTCCTCTCTTCATTTTGCTAACTCTAACTCATTCTTTTGAATTCAGTGTGAGGATCTCCTTCTTCCTAGAAAACTTTTCTTGACCATTCTTATCCAAATTGGATTTAGATGCCTTCCTCTGGATTCCCTTAGTCCCACTCCTCCTCCTTGGCTTATCTCCATCATTTCTACACTTTTTATATTTTATTGTAATCCTTGATTTACTTGACTCTCCAACTTCCTTCTCCAAAAGATGTATTGCTAATCCAATACACATGTCTGGAATGGGAAAGCTATATACCAGGTCCTCTCTGAGGGAGCTTCAGATCCTAGAGTCAGTCAGAAGGATATAGCTGCTCCTTACACACATGGATTTCCCAGTCTGTGGGGAAGGTAGATATTGAAAGAATCATTAGAAATTCATTGAGTGTTCCAGAAAATGCCTAACTCTGGGTCACATGGGTAGTGATAAGGACTGTGCCATCTTCCCTGTCTGTTACCATGATGCTTGGCATATAGTAGCACCTCAGCAAATGTTTTTTAAGAGCATGAGTGAATGTTGGTGATACATTCACTGAATATGTGGATAAAGTTATATCAGCAGAATATCATTTCTCTCATTGTTAGAGCCCCCCTAAGATCTTACTAGGCTGAGCCATGATGCCTTTCATTTAGAAACAGTGGGGGCAGAGCCAGCATCTGGGCCCAGTTGATCCCCTTTGCTGTTAGATTATTCTAGCCTCTGCTCATCCCTGGGTCAGTCTGATGTATGGGGGGTGCAAGGTGGTGCCTCTCACATCAAGGTTTGATCTCCCCTGTTAACCTTTGACTTCAGTTATCATGACCCTGTCAATGGATGAACCTCAGTTTCCTCCTGCCCATTGTGTCCTGTCCTTTGAAATAATTGTAGAAGCACCTGACTGGGGCCCTTGTGGGCTAGATCTGACAGGGGCAGACACACCTTGCCCTCTGCCACATTCTGGTGGACCGAGTTGGCAGCTACATTGATCCTTCTAGGTAGGCTCTTGTTCCAGTATTGGCTTTCCCTGAGTAAGATTCCTAGATTTCAGGTTCTTAGAACAACAACAACAACAATAACAAAAAAGTTAGTCTTTGGAAACAGACATAATTGACTTTGAAGAGACTCTTCTACTTGCTAACTTTATCCCTCTGAGCCTAATTTTCTCATCTGTAAAAATGGGGATAATAATCACAACCCTGTAGGGTTTTAAGTGAAGTGCCTGCCATGTTGAGAAAATGGTATTTTCCTCCTGTATTCCATCACAGTTGTAGTGGATTGAATTTTGTCCCCACAAAACTCCTTGAATTGTGATGCTTGAATTGTGTCCCCCCAATTTTTATGTATTAGCCCCCACTGTAACTGTTAAGAGGGTGGGAAATCCTATCATGGTAATTGAAAGGTGGGACCTTGAAGAGGTGATTGGACTGTAGGACTGTGCCATGGTGAATGGATTAAAAATGGTGGTCAGGGGCATGATTCTGAGGGCTTTAAAAGAAGAGGAGAGTCTGTTTTTCTCTCTCTCTCTGCTGCTCTCTCTAATTCCACCATCTTGTAATGTGAGCCCCTGGGTCACTGTTGCTTCCACCAGATGGACTTTGGACTTCCCAGCGTCAGAAACTATAAACAGTAAATTTTGTTTTTCTTTATAAATCACCCAGATCAATGTATTGTGTTATAAGCAACAAAAACAGACTAATTCAACAGTATATTGACTTTTGTATTCAAAGAAGACATTATTGATTCCCTTCCCTCCAGTACATCATTTACTTTAGGGGTTTTTCTAGATGGGGTTGGTGGTTTGCTTCTAGGGCTGGCTTTGACCACACCATTATCAGAGCTTCTGGACTCTGGTCACATGGCTACCTGGCTCCCTCACCTGGAGAATCCAGACTCCATGGTCTCTGGCACAACAGCTTCATTGTAGCTGCAGCCTGTTTTCTCCTTGCGACCTTGGCTTGGTGCCAGGAAAGAAGGAAAATGCAAGAGGGTGAGGCAATATTTTAGAGGGGAGACTTTTAGTAGAGCCATAGCTTTGCTGTCCTGGGAATTGCTATGAAGACACTTTTCCTCACACTCCTTCAGATCCTACCTCCATCTGCCACCCTCACTCCTGGTTCCTTGATCTAAGTTGTTAGAGCAGTGTATTGGGGTGTCATATGGCATGACAATATCTCATTCCCTGACCTCCTATAGCTTTTATTTTTTTGGTACGGTGATCCAAACCCTTGGCCACCCATAGCATTTAATCATTTATTGTCTGTACATTGTTTTATTTTGTATTATTATGTTATTCTGTGTGTATATTCCATGTGTGATTCAAATATGCCAGTCATAAATCACTCAAAATAAGACTAAGGTCTTTGATGGCAAGGGCTAGGAATGAATAGCCCAGTGCCTGGACACAGCTTGAGAATCATTGATTTAGGGAGTAGGATGAAAAGAGAAGTTAATGAAGAAAACTGAGGAGAAGTGAGAGAAGCAGGAGAAAAAGCAGGAAAATGAAGTGTTAGAGAACTCCAGTGAGGTGAGTTTAGGAGGGGTGAACAACAGGACATAGGCTTCAGGGTAATTTGGAGGGATTTGGGTGCATTCTGTGCACAGGGTTAGAAGAGTAGTGAAGTTGGAATCCAGCTATGTTCTTATCAGGGCCAAGGAGAGCAGGAGCAGCTCTCTCTTGATCCATACCTTCAAACTTTAATGAACATTAGAATTCACAGTCCTGTGCCTCATCCACAGAGATTCTGTTTTAATACATAGGACCTGTAACTTTACACTTTAACAAGCATCACAGGTGATTGAGATGCTGGTGATTCTAAAAGAAACACTGGGGCCTCCTGCTAGTAAAGTAGCCCAGGGTTGTATTGGTAGTTTGGCAGCCTTATTATACTCTTATGATCAGATAAAGTTCCCAAGTCACAAATTCAGAGAGCTAGAGAGGTCCTTAGAGGGATAATCTACCAGTGCTACTCACTGGGGCACTACTGGCACTTTGGTTGGGACCACCATTCTTTCTTGTAGGGGACTGATTGTCCTGTGCAATGTAAGATGTGTTGCATCCTCGGTTCCCACCAACTAGATCCTAATAGCACCTCAGTTATTCTAATGATGAACAAACCCCCACCCCCTATATTTTCTCATGCCTCCTGAGGGGGCAGTACCATCCCCATTGAGAACCATTGCTGTTCTAACCCCTTCATTTTACATGGGAGAGAAATGGAAAGGGAGCAGAGCAAGGAAGAGAGTTCTTCAAATTCTCACAGTGAGCTTTTTTGGAAGTAATGTATTCTCAAGTCAGACTTCTTTCATCCTATATTTCTGTAACTGAGTTTGGGAACCTAAATGCAGACTTGCCTCACCAACTGGATGGTCAAGGTTATTAGAAAAAAACATAGGTCCCTAACTAGGCACCTGTTCTCTCTGACAGCATCAAGTGAAGTGCTGGCTATACAACACACACTGTGCTCACACATACCTATTGAAGTAAATTGAACCACAAAACTCTCTGTGTGGGGCTCCTTGAAGATGAGCAGGATTCAGAAAACTTGCTAAGCATTAAGCCTTTTTTCAGGAGGGACTTGATGGTTTGTTTAGACTCTACTTTGAGGAGAAACATTAGCTCATTAGCATATTCTTGGTACATCAAGAACATTTGTCTGGACTCTGAGCCCCACTAGAGTGTACATGCCAGGAGGGCAGGGAGTTTTGCCTTTGTTCACTGCTTCAGCTCCTGAAACGGTACCTGGTACATAGGTAGATACTCAGTAAATATTTATGAAGGAATGACTCTACGTTTTATTATTTATTTATTTATTTATTTGGGGGGGGGCAGCGGGCCAGTGAGGGGATCTGAACCCTTAACCTTGGTGTTGCCAACACCATGCTCTAACCAACTGAATAACTGGCCAGCCAACTCTACCTTTTAAATAAAAGGTTGTTTACTTTCTTCAGATAAGTATAAAAGAAGTAAATGTTTGCAAATATTTTTATCCCTTGGAGAAAAGTAAAAAGTAAATATAAGTTAAAATAATATGAATACCTTGTATTTGCAAAGAAGATTTCTTTCTAAAACTCAAAGGATTTTGCCATTTCTTAAGGAAAAGTTATAGAAATGTGCCCTTTTTGAACCTACAGTGACAAATGCTGCTGATGGCTGGACTAATATCGCGTGAGAGAGGCTGCTGGTGGTGTTGCTCAGTGCACTGTCCCTTCCTCTGGCCTGTTTAGCTCTATCAAGAATGACATGGAGAGACCACTGATGGCCTATGGTAAGATTCACAGATGGCAGGGAGATGGGCAGCTAAGCAAAGACTTCGACTCACAGAGCCATTGGCTCTCAGGCAGTAATAGTAGACCAAACCCAACAAGATGAAATGTAACAGGAAAAGAACTGTGAGTCCCAAACCCTGATAAACCACATATAACAGTGACCTGTTTTAATAGCAGCACATGGAAAAAGCCTTCAGGGTTTCAACTGATGGAATGACCAATAGTATCCAACAGGTTGATATTGCTGCTCCAAATGTTTCCTCAAGCCACCTTACTGAAGTTTAGTGCCTAGAGTACAGGAGTCAGTATTCCATACCTGTGCGTACCTGTTTCATTTGCTTCTTACTTGTATTCATGCCATACCTTATAAGGCACCTAGACAAACCAGAGCCCGTTCAGAAAGTGACCGGGATATGGAGGGCTTTGTTAACTGATTGTATAGTGAAAATAACTGGATATAATTCACTTGGGTAAGAGAGGAGTCTGGGGACTATTATGGCAACTTGTGGAAATTTGAAGGCTTGATGTGTAGGGCAAAGAATAGCTTGGTTCCTTATATCCCCTGAGAACAGAATCAGGATCAATGGATTAAAATGCCTGCAAGACAAATTATTGACTCAACACAAGGGAAAATTTTCTGACTGTGCTGTTCAGCACTGGGATGGGCTTGTTCATTAGGTAGTGAGTTCCTTGTCAATAAAAGAGTTCAAGTAGTGGCTGATTGACCACTTGGCAGGAAAGCCATAAAGGGTATTTAAAACTCAGTTAGGATTGAACTTCATGCGTTTTAAGGTCCTGCTCAAGCCTGAACACAAGCTTGTGTGTTTTGGATTTTTAAGGTGATAAGTGAATTAGATTCAATATATATGTATATCGTATCCATCACTGAGATGGGGTTGAGTCATTATTTAGGGAATAAGTGGCCCTATTTAAACATCCGTTATTACGTAGATTTCTAGAAAATTTTATCAGATCTTTTACAAGAACATATGCTAATATACACTAAGGAACCCGCTTATCAAAGCAGTACCTGGCTCACCTTCTGCCTATTCAAGTATCCTCAGTTATACCTGTAGGTATCCAGATCTGGCTTACTCAGGATTAATTTGCAGCAAGGTGGGGAGGGAACAAATACAAGTGTCTGTGACTTGGGCAGCACTGCTGTCAGGGTCGGGATGAAGGTCAGGGGCCTTACTTTGTTCTCTGGCCTGCCTTGTTTGCTTAGATCAGAATAGCATTGCTGATTTTCTGGCCCTTGAGCATTTTGTGCTGTTCCTTCAACATTTTCACTATTCACAGTTGCTGACTTACCTTCTTTTTTTTTTTTTCCTTTTTGTCTTTTTTACTGACCGGTAACGGGATCGCAACACCAGACCCCGTACCAGGGACCGGCAACGGGATCGCAACCCTCAGTGTTGCGCCCGCACACCAGAACCGGTCTCCACATGGGATCCAAACCCTCGGCAGGAGCGCTGCCGCACTCCCAAGCGGCGCACTCTCCAGTGCGCCACCGGGCCGGCCCTGACTTACCTTCTTTTAATGTGCTCTTTCTTTGGTAAGGTAAGACCCACATGATAAAAATGCAAATAAGACAAAAGTGTATTCAGTGAAATGTAAGCCCCCTGCTCCTAGCTCATCATATGTCCCCTAGTTCCTTCTTCCAGAGGCAACTGCTATGACCACTTTCTTGTGGATCTTTCCAGAACGAGTGCACACATAAGTATAAGCATGGATATTTATATGGTCTTGGGGCCTCCCATCTGGCTCTGCCCACCAGTTTGTGTGTCTTTTTGCTGATCCTCAGCTCCTGCAATAGTTCATTTCTCTGTATTCAACTCTCTCTTCCACCCTATCCTGGTTTCACCATTTTCTACTTCTCATCTACTTTCATCCTGCCACCCTGACCTGGTAAGACCTTAATCTGGGACAGGAAGAAGTAGAATTCATTATTTAGAAAAAGGAAAACATTTTTAGTTTCTATTTCCATTCTATATTTTCTAGCCCTGAAAATTAAATTATGCCTGTTCATCTGCTACTGACTCACTGTATTCCATGAGCAAGCCATTTGCATTTTTCTTCACAACAACATCTTTCTCCTCAGGATACTGTGGCAACTAATGTTTTAAGATTCTCAGAAAAAGTCATAATAATAAAACCTTTCCATCCTAAGCATCTAAAAATTGAATTGAGAGCAAAGCATAGAGAAGTATTATTAAAGAAGCTAAGCAGTTTACAAACTCAGCAAAGCCACATTGAAAATTAAACCCTGTCGGTTGGGAATTTATTTAGGGCATATTTGCATTCTGTGGTTTTAGACACAGCCACATACACAGTTCGCCTAATGCGTCAGCACAGAAAACAGTGTGTTGAGGTAATTAGAAAATGGTAGCATCACACAGGTAAGGGAACAATTAATTCTATCTGTGAAGGTGAGAAAAAAGAGTGAGGGAGGAAATGAGCCCATAGAGTTTTAGACTTGGAAGGGGCCTCAGAAATTAGCTAGCCTGGGCTAAGCACTTTTGGCTGCATCCCTACCAAGTGGTTGTCTAGTCTCTGTTTTGAATGAACACCTTTACTGGCAGGGTGCTCATTATATCCCAAGGCAGCTTATTCCACCTACAGGCTGCTCTATTAGAAAGCTCTTCCTTAGGCTGCACCAAAATCCATCAACTAGAATCTTCTACTATTTGGTCCTAGATTAAACTCCTTTGGGCTACACAGGCCATCTCAAATCCTTTGCCAGTGTGAAAGCTGTTCATATACTTAAAAGCAGTTCTCATGTACTGCTTTTTCTTCCCTTATCCAGAATAAGCATTAAAGTTCCTTCAGTGGTCATCAAATGACATTGTTTCCTCAACATCTATCATCTGTGAAAGCACAAAAGGCTTCCTGTGGACAAAATGTGTCAGTTTCTTCTCTTGTGTCTTGTTGTTGGTCCAGATAAGTTCAATGAGGTACATGAAAAGAACCTCAAATTAAAAGCAACTTGGAAATAAATCAAATATGGAATAATTTGGGAACGAAATTAAAAAGTCCTGTCTGGTAACACAATTTTAGAAGCTTAAGCCTTAGATTAGATAGGCTGATAGTGATGCCATGAGCACGGACATCAGAAAACTGGAGACGACTCTCACCATGATTTGCAGAATGAAAATGTTAGGAAACCATAGACTCTGGGGTAGGAAAGGCCTTTAAAGATCAGCTAGTCCAAGTCCATCATTTTAAACATGGAAAGATTGAAGTATGAAAAGGGAAGAGACATGCCCGATATCCCACAGCTAGTAAGTGGCAGAACAAGGACTAATCCAGGTCTTTTGATTCCCAATTCAGTGCATTTCTGCATGTGTTTCCTTCACTGGGTATAAAAAGCAAGAGCCAGCTAATAAAGGATACCCTTCTACTGCCTTCTCTATAGTCACTGTCAACAAATTATATTTCATTCTGAAATATATTTCAAAAGTTATGGAATTATATGAGAAAGTTCTTAAGATTCTTGATCTCCAAAGCCACATTCACCAAAGACTTAGCAGTTTATGTCTCTGAGTTTTAAATTGATGTGAACATTAGTGAAGATAAGTCCCCTTTATTGCAAGGTATTTGTATACTGAGTTTTTATCCATGTTAGATACAACATGGGAATGTTAAGACATTTAAGAATAAGAATGAAAATATTAGCCAGTAATGCATATTATTGTGTGGTAAAACATTAATGTCATGTAATCGTTATTGCAACATCAATCTAAATAGAAACTTAAAATGGTTGAATTCCCCCTGACGTGCACAATGTGTACGGGTTTTCAAATATTGGAAAAGGGAGGCTGTTGTTAGGATTCTGGGGTATTGGAGACATGGTGCATACTCTGCAGGCATTTTTTTATTAAAAAAAATGATGTTTTTTATTCAAAAAAAACAAGACAGTGTCAATCTCTAGATTTCATGTTTATACGGCCCCCAAAAGATCATAGTAACAGACCTCCCATGAATCTAGGTCCCTCTCAAGCTGAGGACTTCCTGGTAAAAAATACACTGACTGACGTAAGCCATTGGCCTTGTGTGAGGGTGACTCAAGCCTGGTTCTGTCTCTGTGAAGGACTTTCAAAAACATGCAAGTACTCAGCAGTGTGACCAGATGAAAGTCTTCAAGCTTAAAGGCAGAGTCACTTATTATAGTTGTGTCTGCCAGTCCAGACTGAATGTAGCACAGTGCATAAACTCTACAATAATTTTACCAGAAACCAGTGCATGTCGGTCAAACAAGGTGCATCATCCTCCAAAATGGTCAGTGAAACCAGGGTCCATTTTGAGAATACGCTTCTGTTAGTGATGTGCTATAGTCTGCTCTCAGAACTTCTTTACAAGAAAGTATTCATTACCAATTTGTATATACATGAATGGAGCAATCTCAGTAAGTTTGTATGGATGATTTTTTGAAAAGTTCATTTAGACTTAGACATAGATATTATTTTCTAGAAAATGTGTACCCGTAAGACATTGCAAATTTGAAGAGAAAATTAATATTTGAGAGAAAGGATTATAGAAAACCTGCTAAATGCCCCTTTAAAAATGGGACTAGCTCTACTTTTCAATCCTATAAGATAGCATGTCATTACAAATCCATGCTATAATTTGTACTGTATTGATTTTATTGTCACAACTTTGGAAATACTCTGTCATGTATATTTATTATGGCCCATAAGTGTTCAGAATATCATTTAGAGACCAAGTCACTATTCAGGGTCAAGGAAATAGAGGGTTGTATAGAGAGGTTAGAACTCATTAATGGACCCAGTGTGCAGACCTAAGAAATCTGCCTGAGACAACTTCTGTTGAAAATCAAGTGAAAGAAGCCCTTAAATAATAGGAGTTCAAAATGGAAATTCAAAAATGAATGGAAAGCTGTATAGCCCAAAGTGATGACTCAGTTTGAAAGCCCACATTTTTTACTATCCAGGAATCCTCAAATAGTATTTTTGTAAAAGGAATTGACACATAAGC